CCTCCGCCCTCAGTTAGCTTTTTGGTTGGTTGGTTGGCCTATTGGCATATTCATCGCCCTGATGACGGAGGCAGTATGACCTCTGAAACGTTGGTTAACATCGACCAGACTACACAGAGCAATAACCCTGAAGACGGATATCTTCATACTCACCGCTGTGAGAACCTCAAGTCTTACAATACAGAGTTCGTGGACGTTATTGTGACCAAATATTTCTGCTACCTTTACAATGTGGCGCTATCTGGTGAACATTCTAGACAATTTGTTTGCAACATTTCTCTCTCCTGCCATCTAGTGATGAATCTCATAAATACTAGGTGCCTTCCCTTCTCCTAAATGTGTCATAAAAATGGTGAACTATTGATTATTTCTGTATCGAAAATTAGGCATAGTAGTGTCCAAAAAACTTTAAATGTCATAGCAAATAAAAAAAAATCATATTGCCACATGTAACTAAATATTATTTATTGGTGAATTATAATAAAAATGATATTGAATTTCACTGGACATTGTTAATAGTGAATATTTTGGTCTTCAGTTCACCCTACACATGCAAATTAACAGCCACCAAAACTAAATACAGTGCAGGTTTAATTTTGTATTGTCAGGGGATTCTATAACTTACCATGTTCACAGTAAAAATATAATTCTGACATTGGTTGTTATGGGAGACTTGGAATACACCTCTAAACCCAAGCCATAATATTTAATTTCTTCAGCATCAGAAATGTAAAACATACATAAATGTTCCTTATAATATTCATACTTGATGCATGATAATGTGAACAGTTGTAACAGTTTAATTTAAGTAACAGTAATACTTGTCACAGTCTTTACAGAAAATAACATAAAAAACTGACTCCTTATGTTAAAATGAGTATCAATAATCTGTCATTGATGCTTGCATTTTGTCTATATATAAGCAAGTACTTGCACTCCCATCAACATAATCAGAACTACAAAACAATCAAATATAAGATTACATTCTCTCCTCAAGAATGGTATTATCACATAAACCCATAAACATTTTATATTAATTTCCACAGTGTTTATAGGGCAGAGTAAATAATACCCCTACCCTTCCTCCTGTGGTCCATGTGGTGGTTAATTTCTGTACTACCTATCCTACAAACACTGAACTGGCAGTGCAACTTATTTTACCGGTATATACACTTATTATAACTCTGTAAACACAATTCCTTACAAAAATTGAACAGGATAAAAATGAAACACTTCAGCACACAACACATATTGGTTGGAAACCAATGTGCATGGAGTGGTCAGTACCTTCATCAGCAGGAGCATTTGTCATTCCAACATGCAGCCATATCCCCTGATAATTTGAAATATAGAAAGATTTATGCCCCAAAAAAGAGTACAACTAAGCTTATGACTTGTATTGTTTGCTTTGCCTTTCAGATGCTGTGGAATCAGGTTAATACCATGGATGCCTGGTAACACACAGAATAGTGGACCAAACTTTCATCCACTCACAGTGACGCAGGTCTTGAAAACTGCAGAACAATAACAAATAATGGTGGGAAATATAAGGCAAAAGCCAAGTATTCACTACAACACAATGTTTTGTACTTCATCAAAAGATGACATCTGGAAGAACATCTGTTTTGATGCACCCTCACCTCACAAACACAAGGAAAAATGAAGAGAAAAAGAATATGTAATTCTGCGTTAGTACATGTAGAAGCAAAGAGTTGGTCAAGAAGAGGGAAAAACTGATGCCAATAACACTATTTCCAAATCTGATTATTAAAACTCAGATTTGTTGACTGCAGTGTTTGGGATTGTGACATGTTATAGTTGGCACAGTAGTTTTTGGCCAGTGGAGAAGCTACAGAAGCTCGTGGACGGGCCTACTCTGTGTACCTTAGGTGGCAAGGTCAGTGTATTTCTTTTGTTTAGGCGTTCAGTCCGATAAGCTCCTCAGCACAGTCAGCATTATACTATCGCACAAGTGACTCGCTCCTAGCCTTCCCCTTGAAAATTCCACCGTCCAAAAACTACTGCACCGACTATAGTGTCTCGTAGGTAATTAGCAAAATTTCAGAAGTATGTATCATTCCCATCTTTCTAGCAGCTGGAGACGGATGTGATACATTCCTCAGAAATATCTGTAACTACCAACAAGACTGTACTGCATCAGAATTAAGAATACCGCAATCCATATTTGCACCACTGCAAAACCTCATATCATATTTAGATTTTGTTCTTTGAGTGTGAATACCCCCTACCTATTCACTCAAATATATTTAACAAACAGAGACTTACTACAGAACAAAACAAATCAGACAAAATGCTAGAATCCTTCCAGACTCAGCAGGTAACAAACGCCACATGCAAGCACTGTCATGTTTGCTGTATAGGACCCAGACAGAAAATAGTCTGATGCTAGTCTTTGGGTACCTGGCATTGTAGACAGTCCTGCATGGTGGCAGCACAGTAGCGTTCCACCTGCACAGTTACATGGTGAATGTCAAACTTTCTTTGCAGCAAGGTAAGAGCCTGCTTCAGCACAAGGTCCGAGTCTGTTGCCTGATCTGTCAACATCAAACACATTTTAAACACTAATATTCTCGTCTGCCTATTCTTTTATGACAGATACTGTAAGCACTGTGGAATAAAATACTATCTATCCAGCCACAAGACTGTCCTGTAAGAATATATTTTTCAACATTATTTCAGCATTCACAAATTTTAAGAGAAGAAATCATTCATTTCAAAAAGTATGTCACTATAAATGTATAAAATATACATACAAATTTAATTAACATTACTGTAATATAAATGGTAACATAAAATAAACTCAGTTATTTACTGTTTGATTCCATGGGCAATTTTTACCTTTTCAGATATTTAAATGCCTATAACAAGTATACATTGTAAAGACGTTTTTTGCAAATAATGTGAACTCTTTTTTTGCTTTCTTACTTGAAATTAACATGCCATAATATTCATAAATATGTGAAAAAGAGCTTATATCAAAAGAGGGTAAAATACAGCTTGTTACAATATCCCATTTTGTATTGCATAAGATCCTGAAGAGACAAGTGATTTTTATGCACAGAATCATTTAATGTCAGGATCTGTTGGCAAACAATTGGTATCACACAATATATTTACTTTACTGTGATGACAAAAATAGTAATTTGCAAATCTAATAATATTCTGCGCACAGAGCTTCCTTGCTAACTCACCAACAGCAAGATGAACAGCTAAGGCATTCTTGTTGAGTGTGAGTGACCACACATGCAGGTTGTGCACTGCCCTAACCCCATCCAGAGCATGGAGGTTGGTGGCAATAGCTGTATAGTCAAGATGTCGTGGGAAGCCTTCCATCAGTATGTGGGTAGCATCCCTCAAAACTGGAAGTGTTGTTGTAAGAACCAATAAGGAGAACAGTAAAGTGCAGATAGGGTCCACTAACTTCACTTCTGGCTGAAAAAACATACACATACACAAACAGGTTGATCAAAGGCCATGCTCTTCTCAAACATATTTCAACATACATCAACTATGTATGATAATTCAACTTTTGTATTCTTTTGCCACTCACTTTTTACATTTTCAGCAACTATAATTAACCCTTTAAAGCCCAATGGGACCTATATGTCCCATCTGCATCAACAATCGATAACACGTAAGATTTGAGGTTTTCACAGCGGTGAGTATGAAGATTTCTGTCTTCTGGGTTGTTGCATCACCCTGATGACGGAGGCAGTATGACCTCTGAAACGTTGGTTAACATCGACCAGACTATACAGCGCAACAACCCAGAAGACAGAAATCTTCAATCAATAACGCTTCATTTTATATTTGTGGGTTCCATATGATTCTCAACTTAACAGCATTAAATATTTGATCTTTGTAAGTGTGAAGTGTTGTGTTTCCTTTGTGGTAAAGACTGAATTATTAAATATTTAAGACAAGCTTTGACTTCAAAAGGTCAATGTACTAACGTAGCACTGCAGTTACACAGTTTTTTAATAACATTTCATGTATAACCAAGTCACTGCACACTTCATGCAAATAAGTGCAGTGCCATAATAGTGCAAGGTTGTGTAAAAAGCGATAAAAGAAAAAATACAAAAACTTATTATACAAACACAATAAGATACAGAAATATAAGAAAATAATAATTCAAGTTGGAAAGGAGAGGAGAGATAGAGATATCAGAAATATTTCAGATTGAAGGGCATGACAAAATGTTGGTAACAGAACTGCTTACTCCTATCGCTTGATGTTCCCCCTCTGTTATGTCATACTTTCTTTCATCTGCTAACAAAACTTTTCGGTCACATCGTTGTCAAAATTAATCTGACTGAACGATCTGTACCGAAAACAGTGTACTGACATGCCAAAAAGTTGTTCACGCTGGGAAGAGAAACAATACTGTGTAACAGTGAACACAATTTTTCAGTGTAACATAAAACCATCAAAAGATCCAACGTAAGGAAAATCAAGCAACTCAGTTTACCCTATGAATACTGTACAGGCACTTCTTTAGTCGGAAGGTATGAGGAATAGTGCCCAAGACGTAAAAACAAATGCAGTGTTCTGACTCAGCAATATGTACAACAACAAGCTGTGAAGTTACAGTTCCTCCTAAATACATACTGAAAAGTGATCTTACATAAAATTTAATGATTAAGGCTGACACAAGAACACCAACACTCTGGATAAAATCACCCAGAACGTGGATCACTGCTGCCCGAACATTAATGTTGTGCTGTTTGTTGTGTCCATTTCTTTGTTCCAGCTGGACATGGTGACTGTGACGATGGCCATTACTACAGCTGGCTCCATGTAACACAAGGCCCATTCTACAACAAGATAAACTGTCAATAACAAACCTGGTATAACATGGTTTTCAGTTCAGAACAGGAACATAGGCACCCTGCCTATGGGTCATCTCAATCAAATGCCACTGAATCAGCAACCCTATAAATACCTATACTTCTGCCACTGTTTTTCTACTACTAACAGTCGAAAAACACCACTGAAGATGCCTGTCTTCTAGGTTTTTGCACCATGTAGTCTGGTAGAAGTTTACCAATGTTTCAGATGTGCTTGCTGCCTCCATCATCAGGGTGACAACTGCCCTGATGCCAAAGGTAGCAAACACCTTCAAAATGTCAGCAAACTTTCACCAGACCAAAACAGCACAACCCAGAAGACTATCATCTTCATACTCACTGCCTTGAGAACCTCAAATCTCACTGAATAACATTACTGTTCTCATACATCTAACAAATAGGTAATGTTTCACACAGCCTGTGATAGTAAATTCAAGGATCTAAACTTGGCACTTATTTCTCTTCCTCTTTCCAAATAAAACAATACTCACAAGTATCAGTGCATACTTTTCAATCAAAAGCAGTGATTATACATACATAAACTAAGATGATAAATGGGGTAGTATGCATTTCTTCTTCCTTCCAAATGTAGCAATGGACACAGAACACAAGTAATGAACAGGGGGGCGGGGAGAGGAGGAGACAGGTAGTAAATATAAAATGCCAAGAATTAACAATATGAACAGTTTTACATAAATCATGGACAGAGTTTTGTGGTACACATGAAAGGATCAATATTATTCTGTACAACTGCTCCTTAGCAACTGACAATTAACTGAATATTACACATCATTATGTGGCATGACGCAATGTAATCTTGTAGGAGATTATCAGTATTTCAGAGGAGCATATCCTCTCGATCTTCAGGGTTGATGATGGAGATGGTAAATTCCTCTGATTTATTGGCAATCACTTAAAATAACTCATAACCTTTCTAAAGAATTTTTATCTTTTTACAGTATAACGTATCTGCTGTACATTTCGAACATTTGTATATTTTATTTAAAACTTTCACTTAGGTGAAATCTTTATATTTTGAATTGTATTTGTCTGTATGTTTTAAAATTTTAGGACTTATTCCACATCCTGCAGTAATTCTAACTAACTTCTGGATCCATGGAATGCATATTAATATGTATATAATTATGTATAACAGATTTTATGATCTTCAATAACATTATTAAAGTGTATTAATAGCATTTCACCTCTTATTACAGCATCAGATGGCCTTAACAACTATTCTATTGCTCTCTTGAAATGTAAACTATACTTACATAATGTTGACAACAACTCCTATAGCAGCTACAATCATCATGGTGTCAGCCTGTATGTCAAAATCCTGGTGAATGATTCGCAGCATTGCGAGATATATAAATGCCACAGTCATGACCCAAATGATGGCAATACTTAGCAATGCCCCCAGGATCTCTGCAGTAGGACAAATCATCGAAACTTTAATTTACCATATATTATTCATTAAACATCCTACCAAGTTAAACAAACCTGTACACAGCTGAATCACTATAGTTGTAACAACTCTCACTTTCACAAAGATTGTAAAAATTATTAAAGATATCGCCTTATAAATTTGAGTGAAATCTACATTTAACATTTTCTCTAATACATGGTTGAATTTCTATGGTCTGAGCATAACTTTCAGCATATTTCATCAATTCAGACTAACTCTTTGAAACCAAAGTTAATCTAAATTAAACTTGAAAATTCAGTTCCTACCTCAAATGAACACAACACCTCACAATTAAAAGGTCAACTGGTTAATGCTGCTCAATATAACAATCTGTTTATTCTGAGAATCATATGAAACCCATAAGTACACTCTGCAGACAATATGCAGTGTCACAATGTTACAGCAGGTAATAGTTAACACCAAGTTCTGAAAGGCTAATCTAGTAAGGATTTCATTATTATATCACATGGAAGTAATAGTCTGTATAAACAGTCTGTCTTCTGTGGTTTCTTTGTGATACAGATGTATCTGTTACACAGAGATCACTCTTGCAAAATTTCCTGAAATAATGTTTTGTAATTGTTTAGTTACATCTTTTAGAGTATGTAAATTTGTATCCATATGATTGGGCAGAAGACAAAAATTTCTGCATAGTAAATCTTCCATCTTTCATTATCAAACTTCTTATATACATAAAAACTCTGATAAGATGTTTCAACTTTCTGAGTACACGTTCTGGACTCATATCTCAGTCAGCAATACACCAACTAGACATTCTTCACTGGCAAATTACACAACCACAATGGCACCAAGAAGCAGCCAGTCTTCTACCCAGCAGATAAGGAGGATGTTTCTTCAGTGGGTAATGACATCTGTAGCACAAAGCTAATTATTCACACATATCCTGTGCTAATGTGAAGAACTTATAAGGCTTTGCTTTAGTGTTTTGTATATGCCTTAATGGTGTTTTGCTTATATCTACAGGCTGCCCCAAAAACATATATACACACCGAATGAATAAACTAAACCATTACACATGTCAGCACTGGCACCAAGTAAATCGGTGGACCTAGCATAGGTGTTCAAAATGACCACTGTCCATGTCTTCCATATACACAACACACAAAAATCGAGAACAAGGTTAATATTCCTTATTATAACGTGCATACAACTTACACAAAATGTTTATTCTAAACATATGTCATTCTAATATAAAACACTGTTATAAATGACACATACCAGCTCTAAAGTAGCCGAATGAGAATCTTCTTGTTGGGGCTTGTCTACCAATCCAGATGGCAAACAAACTGACCAGAAAGCCCACAAAATCGGAAAGCAGATGAGCTGCATCTGTCATGACAGCCAAGCTTCCTGCCAAATAGCCACCAACCACTTCTACAATCTACAGTGTTAAACAAAAAACAGCTGTCAGAGCACTTGACTTGTATTTGGCAGTTATGTGGTTTGCAGTTTCTCTTGTCTCTGCAGTAAATTTGAAGGCAGTATTTTTCACCAAAGCACTAAAGAACCAGGATTCAACAATTACAAATTTCTTTCCTGTTCATAACTGAATCATTGCATCAGTTCATCTCTTCACTTTAGGTTATTTAGGGATGGTCTTTCAACTGAAAGGGTTATAAAACATCAAATAAATTGGAAAGGTAATCAGAATTACAGCAAGAAACAGGAAGCAAACGGACATGGCTACTACAAAATATTAACCCAGCATTCACCTGTAGACTTGAGAAGCAATAACCTGTAAATTCAAAGCACACCAAGTGCTCAGCAAAACAAAGTTACAATGACTGTTTTCTTAGGTTACAGGGTACTGTGCATCATAAGTAGGTTCAACAGGCCAGCCCATGAAATACATTTCTATTTAAAAGTGCTGAGATACCCCCATGATGTAGTGATATGATCACAAAACTTGTGATTTGGCAGTGGTAAAACGGTCAAGGCAATGTACCTACCAACTCAGCTTAGCTTGTATGGAAATTTTTAGTAAAATACAGTACTCAAAAAATGAGACCCCCCACCCCAATTTATCAGACATTTTTCTTCTGTAACTTAAAACAACATGTTCTTTATGATATGAAAATAACTACCCATAATACAAAGAAACAGTCATTGCTGATTTCAAAAAACTTATGGAAAAATATCTCTTATTTCATTGTTTATCAGTAAGACAGCATAAAAACGATTCTACTGTGAACTGATGTCCCCTTGATAGTGCTCCACCTGTACAAATCATAAATAAAAACAAATGCATTTCCAATATATAGTATTCTGGGATGCTGGGACTTGTAATATTTTGGCTGTATGCCCATGTTTTGAATATTGTGTCCAAAACACTGACATAAAGCCAAAATACTATAAGGTGCAACAACCCAGAAGAACATCATATGTACTCATATCACCATGAAAACCTCAAATCCTACAAATGCATTTCTTATATAGTAACATCAGTAAAAGGACTGGGAAGGAAGCAGCTGTTTCAGAGTACTATTCCAGTATCTACCTGGTATGTGCAAAGAAAACCAATAAAAACCTCAGTACAGCCTGTGTGTCAGCTGAGATTCAAACTGGTACTCCTCAAATACAAGTCAGAAGTGTCACCACTTGAGCAAACTTGCTTGGTTTAATATTAGATGCTTAATTTTTTGTATGTGTTTGTTCTATCAACAGCTGCTTTGATTTCTGGAAGATTAGTGGAACTGGATTTGTCTTCATATTAGCTGCTATTACAGCGTATGGGGGAGCTGTACAGAAGGTGACAGTTCAAAGTGTCTAGACTGGCTTTCATGTGATGCAATTCTGTTTTGGCTGTAAATGAGATTCTTAGCACCACTGAAGCGGAGCAAACTCATCTATAAGTCTGTATGAGTTAGGATACTTTTCCTTTTAAAAGTTGCAGACATTCATAAAACAATTTGAATAATATGAGCAACAGCAAACTGCATTAAAATGAGAGCTAGCAGTCAGACCTGTCACAAACACCAATGGTTAAGTTTCAAAACTGCAAACAAATTATTAACTGCATAATTATGTATGTGTTTAGGTCTACTGTAATGTTTGTTCTTGGGATGTCTTTCTGTAACTATATTGTATTTCTGGATACTTTCTCAATGTGATGTGCTGTAGGATTTCAGGTTCTCACAGTGGCAAGTACGTAGATGACTTATCTTCCGGTTTGTAGCATCACGTGGTCTGGTAGAAGACATTTACCGATGTTTCAGAGGTCCTTTCTCCCTCCATCATCACAGAAAGATGGAGGTAGTAAGCACCTTTGAAACATCAGTAAATTTTTACCAGACTACATAAGTGCTAAAACCCAAGACAGATATTTTGATGTGTTGTACTTTCACTTGTTCCTCACCCTGCTTACTTGGATCTATGGAATGCATCTACCACTCACCATGAAGAGAAGGCACATGAATGTGGCTGCAAGAAGCTGTTGCCATGCTTTAGAGTTGCCATGCAATGGTGCTGCTGCCACATGGCAGTGGTCTAGTTCATCACCATTGATGCTGGAGGGATTCACTGTTACATTACAAAATCCCTCCTGCAACTGAGGACAGAACAGAAGGCATGAAACACCACAGTGTTACTATATATGCATGCATACTGATTCCATCTCACACCCTTTTTATAAAAAATTGTGTAATTTAAAAAAAGATGTGCACTTATCACCAGAAAATAAGCCTCAAATGCACAATATCTGAAGACAAAACAAGCGGTCTTTATGTATTTTTAAAGTATTTTAAATCACCACTGATATGCCATAAGGCAATTTAGCTCTGTGGTAGCATACTGGAATCTTACACGTGAGGACATGGAATCAACTCTTGGTCAAGTCAAGATGCCACGTAACTGCCATGTTTTTATTTTTCATTATACAAAGAATACTATATCAACACATTATTTTTTCTGAAAATCATACACCATTGTATAACACTACTGCAAGTGGCACTAATATCAATCCCACCTCACAAGTTAGTCTGTCCACCATGTTGGAATCAGTGATTGCAGGAAATCAAAAAGTATGATTTTAGGGCAGTCCCAATGGCATATGTCCATATGAAATTTCATCCAAATCTGTCCATACAGACAGAAATGACCAGCCCTATATTGATATTGTGCAAAGAATGCATTATAATGTAAATTATGACAGCTTGTATGCCAACAGTAACTTCAGAGAATGACATTTCATGACATTTTATATCAAAAACTCTTCTTAAAACAGCCATAAAATGATAATTCTAAAGCAACCTGAACAAACAAAGGTGTAAATGAACTTAGCATAATATCTCTTTATCGCATAGACATAAAAACAAGAAATGTTTCAGACAAAAGCAAGACATTTTCATGAGATGAATATTAAATGTTATGTACATTTACTTTAATACAAAGACTGGGGGGATAGGTATTGCCCTGAAGTGCTCTTGAGATATTGATAAACAACTATCTCCTGACAGGCTCTTGTAAACACATGAATAGATAAGATTTGTCTTTTCAAGTACAAACTCATGAAACATTTCACAATTACAAATCTTATTTAAATATTTTATGTACATTCAAGGGTATAATGAAATGTTTTGTGAGGAGAGTGATGGATTGACTAACTGCCTAATTAATTAACTAACCAACTGTAACCAGCAGCTACCTGCCATTATTTGAGTGTGCTCTATCACATGTATGTTCCTCAGGGCCACCCCTACTTGCTTCTATCTCAGCCAGTACCTATGGTTGACTCAAGTTACTGCCATTTTTACTGAGAAACATCTCTTAAATTCTGTTTGGCATGTGGTAGTCTGAAATAAGTTTCAGACTTGAATGTTATCTTTACAAATGGTGACTGACTGAGGTGGGGTCCACCACAGGTAAGTCTGTTTGGCATTGCCAATGTGAGCCCTGGGGGTTTAGTCCCATAATTATGGACAGTAGATCAGTTTTGTGTATTTTTAAACTTAGTCAGTTTAAACTCCTTTTCTCATGGAAATGAAATTAGTTTGTGCTGCTGCTTGGCCAGTACCAAGGATCTGGATTGAATGGGGTAGAACAGTAACAGGATGCAGCACAAAATAAATGATGTGGAAGCTGGTTGAATGATAACAGATTTGTTCTGAAAACTAGAAAGAGAACAAAATACTAGTATACATTTACTTCCAGACTAACCTCCCCATTAGCATTTTTATTTATGATATTTTTGTCACCCCCAATGACTTAACATAATCAGTATAAGCCAGAAGCTGATGTGTCCCATTCAATTGCATTCCCTATGTTTTCTTAGGGTGGCCACACACACTACAGCTTACCAGAAGGCCTGCCTTCCAAGTTAAAGTCGGAAGGTAAGCCTCAAACCTCTGAGAGTCCACACACGTACAGACTTTGTGGCAGGTTGTGCTCAGTCTTTTTATTCTTCAGTCGATGCTACAACATGTTCAATGAAGACGATGCAATTTTAATCGGTCTTGCTGTTACTTTAATGTTGAAAAATAAAAGAAAGCTGAAACATTCTAAGTGAGTCAGAAGTTGGTTAGATGGATCAAAACATTCTCACATAAATTTGTTGAATGAAATTCGATTAGAGCTGACGGACTGGCATAACTACCTGCGAATGGATAAGGACACATATTTGGAACCGTTAAACTTAGTTTCGCCAGTTATTGGGAAGGAAGATACCGTAATGAGAACAGCAATTTCTCTGCATTAACAGTTGTGCGCTACCCTAACGTTTCTGGCCACCGGAAGAAACTATGAAGATTTGAAGTTCTCAGTGGCTGGTTGAGATGACTAAATGATACAAACCTTGCCTTTACCCTCATCTCTGCCCACACCCGTTACAAGTTGTAAACATCCGGTAAACCTCAAGGCAAAAAATCAAGCAACTGCAGATTTATCGGAGGCTCAGTTTCCGGCCAAATTCAACACACACGCTCCGGTTTGCCTTCAGAGACATAAGCCTTCTGGTAAGCCATAGCGTGTGGCCACCCTTAGATGTTCAAATCAGCATAATCTAAAGCAACGTTAGAACACTGAAGCTGAAAGAAAGCAACAAAAAAACAGCAAGTACAGAATTTTTAACAAGATATGGAAAGTGCAGCATATTTTACAGATGTAGGATCTATGGCTGTGCGCATAATTTCCAGTGACACAATTTCTGTATTCATGGTCCTTAATATGAAATGACACTTTACTTTGTAAACCACTTAAGATATTTAGCCAGTTTATCTTTGGATGCAGAGCAACAAAGGCCAAAGAGTTAGTGCTGAACTTAGACTTGTTACATCCCAAAACAAGGTGCAGGAATCAGTGACACAAGAGAATGTTTTGGTGACATGAAACACTGCTAAGCACAATTAACCATTTTTGAATGGTGAATTTGTGAAATGGTGTATAGTGGATGTAGCTGTAGCAGTTTGCTTTTAAAAAAAGTTTCAAAACATTATATATATAGTTTATAAAAACAGGTACAATGTGGATGACATCAAGCACAGTAGAGTCCCACTTATCCAACCTTCGGTTACCAGACATTCCGCTTTATCTGAAATGTCATGTTGGAAAGCTCCATTCTAACAACAGTCAACTCATCATGCAGCACATTTCCCCACCATGCACCTACATTTTATGTTGCTACAAACATACTAATGTTCAGGCACTAATGTAACCTTGCCACAAAGAAAAAGGAGGTGGTTCCAAAACAAGCATCCATTATCAAATTCTCAAAAAAAAAACACACACACACACACACTCGTGTACATTCAAGTACCTATTCTAGACCTGCAAGGGTTCGGTGAAGCAGGTCGTGGCTTTGATCTGCATCGCAGTCGAACGAAGATTTCCCCAGTACTCCAGCTTGATTAAGTTTCTGTACCCTTTACTCTCTCTCTCTCTCTCTCTCTCTCTCTCTCTCTCTCTTATTTGATTTACATTATGTTAAATAATATTTTTGTTCATGAAAATTTGTCATTTGATGCTGGATGGTATTTTCTTCATAATTTAATAACACTATAAATTGAGTTATAAACTGAGCTGAAATTTACCCTCATATTTTAAATTAGTCTTCTGTATTATCCAACATTTTTGATTATCAGACTGTCCTTCAGTCCAATTTATGTTGGGTAAACAGGACTCTGCTGTAAATACACTTCCAAACTCACAACAGCAACAGGCTTCAAAAATAAAGAAAGATGTATGTATATCTTTAAATAAATGTTACGCAAAGTCCCAGCTTTCTGAGACAATTCTAACCCACAAAGCATTCTGATGAAAGTTTTCTGGATTGTAATGCCAAGTGTTGTAGGTAGGTAACAATGTTTCAGAGGAACATACTGCCTCTATCTTCAGGATTGAATGTTCTTCCAAAACAGTGATATCTACCACCATATCCAGACAGTATTACAACACAGAAGACCAATATCAACATTTTCACCACAACAATCTCAGCCTCTGGAATCAAACCTGCGGCAATTTGATAGATGAAATATGATATAATTATGTAGCTAGAAGGCAGCTACATGGTGGTATAAAGTTTAGTGCATTTGGTTAGAAATTTCCAATGTTCATAAAGAGTTTGTTTTAACTATTTCATGTGAAATTCAACATTACTCCTACACCACCAACTACAAGAAGTGATATTTACTACAAAGAAGTTTTGAACCTATTGCTACATTCCACCAGCTGGACATTTTGCATTGCATTTATGGCATGAAAATAAAAGAAGGCTGAAAATGACACTGGACGGTGTCTTGTTTAAATTGCATTAACATAATCTGGAAGCATTTGTACTTGAACTCTAGTAACTTGGAAAACAACTTATCACATCTTCATTATCTCCATGTATTCAGGAATGTAATGTCACTTAAGTCATCTTTTTAAGCCAGTTAGATTGTTAAATATGAGAAGACAATGAAAGACAATGACCTGTTGCCCATCACAGCCTTTTACATAGGAGGGCCATTCAATAAGAAACTTCCAAAAGTGTTACACTTAGTAGAATTTGAGGTTTTCACGGCGGTGAGTGCAAAGATGGCTGTCTTCTGGGTTGTAGTGCTTGCATTCTGGTAGAAGTTTACCAACGTTTCAGAAGTCCTTGCTGCTTCTATCATCAGAGCAATGAGTCATCACCTTGATGATAGAAGTGCAACAACCCAGAAGACAGCTATTGTATGTTACACTTGCTTTATTACTTCAAGATTGATGTAAAAAAAAGAACTAATCTCTCATATCTTAGCGTAATCATCAGAGTGAATGACCCATTTAATTGCAACTAGGAAGAAACCATATATCACTGTTGGCACCCATAAATGCATCTTGGCTTTCGCCTTATCATCTCTTCAGAAAGAATTTATTTTGAAGTGCTTTGTCAGTGGTTTAATGAAGTGTAACTTACCACATGCCAGGTCTGGGCTGTATAGCAGATAGTCAAGACAATATCAAGGATTTCTGTTGTGATACCAGCTGTATTGGGGTGGGCACTGTCACAGAGAAAGATCAACTTCTCTGTAATTGATCAAGAAAGGGCAGATGCTCTGGATGGCTTCTTTCAAGAGTTGCAATGATGTGCAGCAGAGGTCTGCATTCATATTAGCCTGTTATCCAGGAGCTCAAAGGAGAAAATGCCCTGTATATCCCATAATGTCATTGACAGCATCTTCCCACAGACTGAAAATTTTTTAACTTCTTTTTCTTGTGGCACATAGTGTGTTTCCACTCCAGCGATTCTGCATCAATGCCAATGTGATGTAACACATGAACATTTCATTGCAGGTGATGATGTGACTAAGGAATGTGTTTTGTTGGCATGCACAAGGCATTTTCCTCCTTGAGTTCAATCACAGGGCAGCAGTGAATGCAGATGACTAGTGCAAAACACTGTAACACTTGAAAGAATCAAACCAGATAAAATACCATGGCTTGCTGAAAGAGAATGTGATCCTACTCCAGTGTTGTAACACTAACCCAAACAGCTAGCAACACAACACATATCCTGGAGAAGCTTCAATGGGAATGTCCTGCTGATCCATAACAATCCCTACACCATGTCCCTAGTAACTTCCATCTCAACCAGACCATTAAAGAAGCACTTTGAAGGAAAACACTTCTGACATGATGCGATGAAGGCCAAGGAGTGCCAGTGAGTGCAAACATTAAACCTTTATTTCTTCACAGTGGGAACTAAACAGGCAGATTCTATAGAATTTAATATAGCATTCCTGTATTGTATTCAAGAGACCTGCTAGCCTGAACAGGTTTTTTTTTGTGGTTTTCACCAGTCATTAAAGGAAAATGTTGGGATAGTTTACTATAAAAATTCGTGATTCCCGTTGTCATCAAAAAATGACGTCATCAAACAATGTTACGTTATATTTGTTTACTCAGCATTGTTGTACCAACACAACAATGCCGAGTAAACAAATGACTTGAGTAAGACACTAAACTAACCCCCCCGAAGGGGGTTAGTCAAGTGTTTTAACCCCCTATTCGGGGGGTTGGTTTAGTTTCTTACTCAAGATTTTAAAACGCAACCAACCCCCCGAGGAGCTCCGAAAGGAGCGCTCTGCTCTAGTACCTTAAATTAGGCCACAGCCTAATTTAAGGTACTACCTTTCAATTCACTGTTCATTAATAATCCTATCATTTGACAGTACACAATCAAGGCTACTGTCAGTATTATTAAACACACCACAATATAGCCTGTACTTGTTAATGATTTTAATTTTGGCTGAATCGCATTGCTAATGTCACAGATATTCTGGTGATTACATGGATAAACAAAGGGTTTTTACATTATTCTTGTTCTTTTGGATGCCTATATAGAGATAATAAACAGAAATGTAACACACCCTTTGAAGCTACTAAATAAACACCCCTACATAACAGTAATGGTGTGACAAATAAAGGCTTTACATTTATAATTTCATTACCCCAAACCAATTCTCCATCATTAAAAATAATTAAGTAGGATTGAGGTTCTCATAGCGGTAAGTAAAGCTGTCTTCAGGGTTATAGTGTTTCAGAGGTCCTTGCTGCCTCCATCATCAGGTCATCACCCTGATGACATGACACTACAGCCCAGAAAACAGACATCAATTAAGTCCATGAAATAACAGCAAGTTACAATTGTATTTACTACTTCTGGACAGATGTCCAAAAGAACAAGGAATAATGGGCAAATCCTTTACTTCTTCATGTAATTACCAGAGTGATCAAGAGAATTATCCCTGTGATACTCTATCAGATTGTAGCAACATTGCTTGTTATTACTTTTAAATAATCTCATTATAATCTCACATTGAATTTATGCATTTTTTGAACTGCAATTACTTCTTCACAATATTCTTCCTTTTGTACACTGTCTTTTTACTATTATGAATATTCTGCTTTCTAAAAATTCACTTATCACCAATATACTAGGGTCTCAGTGTCATTTGATGTGCAAAATTTCAACAGACTATAGCCACAACAAACCAAGTTCGTCAGACCAAAAAAAATTGGACAACTGTGCTTCTGAAGATGATAGTCTTCTCTGGCTGTAATAGTGAAAATTTTGTAAAGACAACAAGTCAGTTTTGAATGCTGATGTGCAATTTCCATTTGACTTCATCTTCCCAAAACAACTATGTTCACTGACACTAAACATATACGATGAGACTAGAGGTTCTCACAGATATAATAATCTTGACTGTGGTCTTCTAGATTGTGATGCCCTGTAGTTTTGTGGGTAGTTACCAGTGTTTCAGAGGATGGTATGTTTACCTTTCAGGTAGAAGTGGGATTATTCTGTTATATATTTAAATAAATACACACAATTAAACTGGATTATCTTTTACACAATACCCAGTAGTATAACAATGCTCAACTGATATCAGTGCAATTACCACAGAGAAAAGTTAGTTATCTGACAAACCCAAAATACTTAATGTTCCAAGTTGCCATATTTTTTATTTCAGAATATGGAACACACTACTTTCTAGTGGCAAGGGCTGGAAACTGTCACAGTGGTAACAGAACCACCACCATTGCTAATATCAAAGACTGTTAATGAACACCATCCTTACCTGCTAAAAACCCTTTCACATGCCCACAAACTTCCAAAAATCCAGTTAAATGTTATCTGACACCTTCCTTCTGTCCCAACAGGTTTTGCAATAAAAATGTTGTACATATTCTTTTTCTCTCTCCATCAGTTGCAAATGTTTAGCCCATTTTAACCTCCTTGAGAATATATGATCTTTCCAGATTTTGGTTTTCTGGGTTGTGACCTGCAGTCCTGAAGGTGGCTATTGATGTTTCACACGAACACACAGCCTCCATCTTCACAGTACCCTACCTGCTGTAAAGATGGAGGCAGCATATTCTTCTGAAATTGCAGATGATTGAAATGTCAGTAGCCACCAGTGTTACAATTCTCACTGCCATAAAAACCACAAACATCATAGATTACCTGTTCCAATAAAAACAGCATACAAAATAATACAGAATTAGCATGATTACTAAAACAAACTGATAAACACACATGTACCTTACATATGAGAAAGAATATATCATGAATTTTAGTAACAAGGTCATCAGACTGGGTTGGGGATTTCAACAAAACAAGGGCCAATGGCAAGAACATGAAAAATAAAGGAAAACCTGTCTTGCCCCTTTGTCCAATGGGGCTTAGTTTCTGAAATATATGCTTTAAACGTTTTCCCATTGATATAGCTACAAAAAAAGGCTTATCAGGTGGTGAGGCCTGGTAACTGAGCAGGTAAGGCTGTGGACTTGTAATATGGGGTCCTGGGTTCGAATTCACACGCTCCTCTTTTCTGTAGTAGCACACAAGTCAATATTTAAATCTATCAAAACATTTTCAATGTAAACACACAAAAACTTCTGTAACAACACTACTGACCAACTCAGAGCTGGTACTCACCCAATCAGTGCAGAATACTCACTCCATCAGTAAGCAGCGGCATATCTGCTCCATCTGCTGCAGAAGTAATCAGGTATTGTGGTGCTAGTGAGCTGTTGAACATTGTGTCAAGCCGTCCATTACATTCATGGGAAAATACGTTCTTACTGTCCCATTCTGTTAGTCCTACGGGGTTTCGTATTTCGGACTCGTAATTCATGTATCTGCAGGAGCTGGGCATGGGACTGCATTTAACACAGAAAGTAGCAGGTTCTTCGCTGTTGCCCAACAGAGGCACGGAAGATCGTGCATCCTCTTCAAACATAAGGTTATCGTCACTCAATGGGTTGATCCGACCAGTGTACTGGTGTTCACAGACGTTCATTTCATCATATGTGTTTGCCATTTCAAGATAATTATAAAAATACGTTAGGTAAAAACATTTGCAAATTAAATATTTGTCACAATATAGTATACAATTTACGGAATTACTTATCTACGTCATTATATGTGTACATATACAATACTATACATATAAGTGCTAAAATTCCCACTTATATCATACGAACACAAACCCATATTTTAATCTACTGCACCTGCGCGACGTATGACGTATAAACAGTGAGAGTACGTTGACGCATTTTATCTTCCCACTACCAAAATATAGAATTTCCCGTTTCAGTCTAATTTCTAATATATCTTAATAATTTCGAATGCACACGTTCTTGAATGAAAACAGTTGACATTTTGCTATTAGTTTCAATCAGTACTCGACAGATAAAAAGTATACGTAATTACAGTTTTAAATTCAGTTTTGTAAACTACAAAACGCATAAGACATACACAAAGAACATTCCATGGAGATATTTTAAATTATAATGGAATTTAAAAGAATTCAGAGGGCTGAATCTGGGACACATGAATAATGTATAAAATAAGGTTCTCATTTTCGACCTACTGCATTGATTGTTGAACGGCCAGATCACACGAGCCATATATGGTTCCTGTGGGAGCACTGGCGGAGGGTAAAATCATGGGTTAAACCAAATCACCCCTCCCCCCCGGAAGAATGGTACAACCCAAGAACACAGACTTAAGTAGTAGCTGTAACACAATGTAATTAAATGTCAGTAGTGACATTAAATCGAAGGACGTATGACGTATTATGTTGCATGAAGGAAATATAAAGCATTGTTTTCATTAACCCATATTAGAAAAAGGGTTAAAAAGTTATAAGTTACTTTAGCATATTTCTTTTATTGTACAATTCACTTTTCTTAACTGACATACTGAATAGTTTTTAAATAATGTTAAATGTCCACATTTAAACATTTTCTTATAATACGAAAAGTTTTAATTCACCAAGGCTGCCAACTTAATACAACTTCCTTCATACATTTATATACATACACACACACGCGCACATACACTCATGAGAACATTAATATAACATCACGAAAAATCATTTAAGTTGCATCACATAATCACAAATATGCCACCGTATAGAACATAAAATGGCCAATGTTTTATATGAATTGTAATGTTGGTTCCTACAGGTCACTTCCACCAATCATGGCGTTCAGCGTTTACTGTACCGCCATGTTTCCCATTGATTGCACACGGCTCGTATCTGTTGCATAAACAACCGCGGGATATTCAGAAAAATCAAGTAGAATAAAAGTCTTGGGTTCGTATACCTGCAATTATGAACACGCATTATTTTTTTCGTGTAAATGCATCTAGAAGACTCATATTATCTACATAAATTAATTTGAGAAACCTGATACAGCACGCTTCTTGTTACAGTCTTCTGGAACATATTTGTCGCCCACTCGCTATTTCCGCTCTTTTTGACAGCTAAAAATACACATGATGTTAAAATAAGAGCATGGATAATTATTTAGTGTGTATCACTTATTTGTACATTCTTTCAAGAGAGTTGGCGCATGTTTTATTACTGTACTGGTTTCGATTAGGATTGAAGGTTTAGATCGCTGCCAGGGAATAAGATCACACGTTGGCATCTCATTTTATTAGATTTGTGGTTTAGTTTGACACGTGTTTTGCATGTGCATTGTGTCTTATTATATAAGTAATGTCTTTAGCATTCATTACGGCATGATATGTGGAGTAGAAATAAAATTAATCAATGTATTTGGAAGAAAATAGTAGTAGCAGTATGTCTGCATTTTTAATTGACCTTCCCAGTTGATAAATATAGCAGAGGAATGTAATATGATAACATGTATATTATTCCAGCATGGTGTTTGGTTTTGTTGTTTTTACTTTTTGTATTTAATTAATTATAAGCTTTTCCTTGAAATGTAGACTATTTAAAAATAATTACAAATGTTTGTTATCCTATAGAAGAAAAAAGTGAGTGAAATCCTGTAGTATGGAAGACTTGTTGGTAGTGTCCTGTTTTTTTCAAATAGGCACCATTACTCCTGACTCTTCATGTGTAAAATTTTTATTTCTTATACAATTTGCTGTTTTGCAATTTATGGTCAAGTAATACATCAAATTGAAAACTATCTCTGTTGACCAGAACCTGATTTAAATATGTCATACATCTTTATTACATACCATGGATTCGTAAGATAGTCAGATGACAATAGGATGTGGAAAAAGTCATAATAATAATAATAAGACAATACATTTTATAAAGTACAATTCATACTACTGTCTACTATTTTAGTTCAAGAAAATTACTTGAATGTATATGCAGTTTGTTCTTGTTGGTAGCACTTCAGTACCTCCATTGAGAATAAATTCCTTGTAATGCAAGCATATTAATAAAGTGTTTGTGCTATAATGTAATGAAATTGTACTTATTGTTACATGAACATTAATAAATTTTTCAAATGTATGTGTTCTTTCCACATTCAACAATGTGAACACTGGAATAATACTTTGATAATTTGTATGGAAGTCTGGCAGGTGGGTGAGGTCTAAGATAAAGGCAAGAGTATTTACATCAAAGTTTTTAATATTTTGTATTAATGTGCAATATCTGATTTAAATCATTGTAGATGTTTAAATGGTTGTAAGTTTAATATAACAGCAAAACATTTCTACAAAGGCATATGTGATTAGCATTCTAATGTGATTGCAAATTTATGCTTGTTAGATATTGCTGACATTAGAAATATAATATACAAAAATGTTTTATACTGGTAAACTGTCTTCTTGAATGTAATAATTATAGTATTGAGCAAGTTGACATGGTAATAATATCCAAAGCACATATTTCAGAGATAAATAGTTTAAATCTCAACTATGTTAGTGGTTGGACTGATACATTTTTATAGATTTCCTAAATTTCTCAAGGTGTTTTGGGGGGATCAGAATATAAGAATATTAATTAATGTGCATATTGGGGTATTCCTCTTTGGTTCTTGCCATCCTTGTCCTAGATGTTTTGAATAAAGATGACTTCTTGATACTCCTGTTTCTGTATACTGACTCTGTCTAGACAAAACACTTACATGTGATAATATGTAGTGATTCCATGATCACATGGAACTTAATTAGAGATAACAGGGCAGTGTTAGATTCCATCAAGTTACCTTGAGGATAAGTCAGGGGTACAGTCCACTTTGGTGATGACAGTGAAGCTTGTTTAAAACAGAACCTAAATTACAGAATGGTTAGCACTCCTGCTTTGTATTCTTGAGGTCCCTGATTCAAATATCAGCCTAGAGATTGACCATACTAATTGAGGTTTTCATTAATTTTTCTCAGTCCCTCCAGTCAAAGGCTGAGGTACTACCTTGGCAGGATTTGAGGTTCTTATGGTGGCAAGTGTGTGGATGGCTGTCTTCTGGATTGTTGTACTGTGTAGTCTGGTAGAAGTTTACCAACATTTCATAGGTACTTGCTACCTTATTATGTTGGTGATGGAAGCAGCTGGCACATCTGAATTGTCAGTAGACTTCTATCATGTTACATGGTGCTAAAACTCAGAAGACAGCCATCTTCATAGCTTAACTTTGACCACTATCTGTTTCTTTACTTTCTTTCTAATTCATTTTTCATTAATTGTCCTGTCATATGATGCTGTGTAGTCTGAGCTACTGACAGTGCTTGTAAATAAACCAGAAATAAATATTAGAACCTAATCTGTTTATGAAATGTCTTGTTTGAATGGCTGTTGTCACTCGTGCTTTGTATCTGGTAGTCCTGATTTCAAATCTTGCCCAGAGACAGGTTATCCTTACTGGTATTTCGTGTTTTTGTCAGTTTCTCCAGGAAAATGCCAATACTTATCTGAACCATAAAGAAGAATAAGAAAGGCCTGAATTAGAAATCTGCCTTTACCAGAAAATGTCTTTATCCTAATAATAATAGTAGTATGGAGACCAATGTAAAAACCTGTGATAAATTAATACTGTAGGACTATATACTGTCAACTGTCTGCTATTGTTCAATATACTTGCAATTGTACTTGGAAGTCAAGTCCGTCTGCAGCCCAATGTGTCGAGGTGAGAAGGGACTATTTGAATCTGGTCTTATGTTATTTATACCAGAACTGAATTCATTAATTAAGATTTAGAACATTTTTATTTTAAAATATAAATTTTCCCAAAATGTGACTTTGAGATTAGTAGGTTGGTGGCATGTTTTGATGTCTTTTAAAATTGATTGGCTCTTTGAATATTTAGAACCTTACAGAAAGTTTCAGTTTTTATATCTGTTCAGCCTTCAACTTGATTACCACTCTTATGTACAAGGTTTGTTGTAGATAATCATTGGTCAATATTATGATGATGTTTAAGGAGGTTACAATGGACTACTTAGATAAAGTCATAATATTTCATGGTTATTTGTTTGATGGCCCTGCTGATGTTATGTAGTGTCAAATGGTGTGGTAGAATTATTTTGAATGATGAAATAGGGATATAGAAGGAAGTGATAAAGTCAGATTTTAAGGCACCATCATGAGATTTTCATAGTGGGACCATACAAACTTCTTAATAACTAGTTCTCAAGTTGAATTTAAATTCGGTTCCTCCAAGCTGTGCATCAGACAACTTTTGGAATGCCAGTCAGCTTTATTATGGTATATTAATTTGTGCTGCTTGGTGATCAATGCACATTTAAACATCATATGATTGTGGATGAAGTGTTTACAAAAAATACTTCTTATATAAATGTATTGGAGTCATGATTACTTAAGGTAGAAAGTAAAGCCATGGAATCTTCCATTCTTTTGTATTAGTTGTCTTATACTTTAATGTAAAGTCATGACTATTTTCTTTGTGAATTCACACAGTCCATAATATAGGCTTATATAATTCTTTGTCTTGGTAAATATTTTTATGGTTATTAGTTGTGTATAAAGCATAAATGCATTTAAGAAGGGCTACCAACCTAACATGAACTTAGTAACAGATGTGAATGGCAATCTACTTTAATAATTGTTAAGGAATATCACTGAATATTGCTGTCTTCTGGGTTGTTGCACCATATAGATTTTTATTGACATTACAGAGGAGCTTACTGCCTCCATTATCAGGGTTTTGGGAAGTTACATTATGCAACCTGGTAGATACTGATGACTTTGCAGAGGATATACACATCTTCTTGGGAAAGTATTGTTTTTAAGACATGTACTTTTCAAGAAAACAAGTAGTAATATATCATGTTAGAAACCACTGCTTGGCTGTCCAAATACTTTTTACTTCTCAACAGCATGCGCAGACTGAAGCACAGGCTCTGAAACAGATAAATTGCATATTTAAAAAAGAAATTAAAAAACTGGAAGTATATTACAAGAGGTGTATGTGAAAAAGACCTTATTTGGTAGTAAAACTGCACAGATCACTGCCATGGTTGTGTTACTTTTAATTAAACATTCATTCACTTGTGTTGTTGGTTCTAGCTGTGTAATTGGAAAGTGTAAAGCATATAAGAACACATTCTGTCTTACAGCTTTTAACTGTTGCATGGCTTCACAGTGCCTGGTGAATCGACTTTCCTTTTTCTGTCAACAAGCAGTGTTCTGTTTGACTGATTATTGTACAGTGACAGATTTCACTTCACAGTTTTAATTTGTTTTTGTGAGATGCATAATTTTTTACATGAATCCAGTTATAGTGCCACACATTGTGGCATTTTGGCCTCATGTGGCTGTCAGATTGTCCTAGTACAGTAGTTTCCAACCTGTGAGTTTTAATCCACTGGTGAGTCACCCACTTTAGTTGGACTTAAAGTAACAATATGAAAGGCACAGATGGAAATTTTGAAACAATGGATATATACAGTGGTAATCCATATTGTCCGATTTGGATCAGAATATATTAATAGTAATTTTTGTATCTATTTATGCATTTATTTCTACCAAAATCCATTCACCCAAGTTAGCATTATCATATTTATACAAATCGGTTGAACAGGATATTGTACCACATTGTCATTTGCATACATAATTTGATACAAAGCAACCTCTCAAGTTCATGCATCATATTTATGTGAAAGAGAAATTGGGATATGTAATGCATAAGGTTGAATACAAGGTTTTGTTTGGAAACCTTGAAGGGGAGAGACCATTTGGAAGACCTAGGGATAGGTAGGAGGATAATATTAAACAGATCTTAAAAATAGGATGAAAGGCTATAAACTGGATTTATTTTGCTTAGGTCAGGGACCAGTTGGTTCGTGTGAACACAGTAATGAATCTTCAGTCTCCATTTAAGGCAGAGAATATATTGGCTAGCTGAATGGCTATTATCTTCTCAAGGACTGTGTTCTATGGAGTTAGTATAACATACAATAGAGCTTCTGTTATTTAGATATCAATTATTTGTGGAGTGGATTATATTGAATTTTGGCAGGCAAATCTCTTTAAGAGTGGTTACTTGGGAGTATCAGGTAGAGATGGGGAATAATGTTCTTATGGATAAATTATGGAAGGGTGAAATTGAATTGGTTGTAGTCAGAAAGGATGCTGTGTTCGCTGCATTTAACCTTTGGGTTTTATTAATGGAGAACAATGTAATTTTGTATACACTGAACAATAGGTCATAAACATTTTTGCAATTGATAGGTTCACTTGATTGCTTCATCATTAACATTTTTAACAATTGTTAGCTTGCATCGAACTTATGGTTATCTTATCAACCGTGTTTCTTATGGATGCTGAGAGTTGGGTTGTAGTATTTTGAAATATGTAATAGGACACTAATTATCTTATCAAACAATATAGATTGTGTTATCATAGGTCATTGTTAATGTGCCAAGTTAATTGTGTTTTTGGATGACCTGAAGTAGGGTTAGTGCCATTCAGTGAATGTGGTGGGTACATGTGCTTCAATGTAAGACTGCGTGTAATATTTTTTGGATGGATGTTGAAGTTTGATAATTATTGAAGGTGAATATAGGAATTCTCATTTGAAAATGTTATAAAGATTTAAGTTAGGCATTGTTTACATAATGTGCACCTTTGTTAATTTACAATATTTTGTTAAAATGACCAGTTTTATTTAAATGGTTCGTGTTAGATCATGCTGTATACTTCATGGCTTTACAGACCACATCATGGAACAAATGAAATTGTGTAACATTTTCTAGACATTTTATTTTATCATATTTCTTGTCACTTATATTTTATTAGGCTTTTTATTAGTACATCATATTGTCAACATCATTTAATTTATGATTAATCTAATCATGGGTTTGCTGTTTGAAACTGTCGTTGGTTGGCTTTTCGTGTAGGTAAATATTTATCTGACTCATTTTCCATCAAAGATGATCTGAAACAATGAGATGCTTTGTCTCCATTGCTCTTTAACTTTGCACTAGAATATGCCATCAGGAAAGTCGAAGATAGGCAGGAGGGTTTGCAATTGAATTGGACACATCGGCTATTGGCATATTCCACAAATGCTGGCTACTTCTTATTTCAAAATATTTTATCTTCCTGTCTGATTTCTAAGAACCTGAAGATTAAATATACAAAACAATAATTTTGCTTGTTACTTTGTATGGGTGTGAAACATGATTTCTTACTTTGAGGGAGGAACACAAATCACAGGTTTTTGAAAATAGAGTGTTGAGGATATTTGGGCCTAAGGGGAGAAGAGGTTGGGGTATGGAAAAAACTGCATAATGATGAGCTTAAAAATATGTACTCCTCCCCCAATATTGTCAGGGTGATTAAGTCAAGAAGAATGTGGCTCGTATGGATGGGGAAAGAGGTGTGCACCGGGTATTGGTTAGGAATTCTGAGGGAAGATACCGCTGGGGAGACCTAGACGTAGATAGGAGGATAATCTCAGGTGGGATCTATGGGAGACAAGTTGAAGGAGACTGAATTTTGTTGGCCCAGAACTACAGGTATATATATTTGCTTTGCTTATTTGTTAACATTTAACTTCAGTGATTAGTTATTAAATGAATTTATTTACAACATATCACATTTTTGCTTAATTGTAAAGTTTATACCATAGACTATGCATAAGTTTTATTCCAGTTTAGTTCTTGGTTTGGCACGTTTCTATTATGGCCTCCAGTATGTATGGAAGCTGTGAAGGTGTTGAATAATGGTCACAATAGCTGACAGTTTTGAAGTTTGGCAGGTGACACCTTGGACTTGCACAGAGGCATAATTTAATCAAGTTAAAAAGGAAATTACATTTTGATCAACTGATAGAAATTTGGGATGTTGAAAGCAAGGAATTTCTTGATTGACAGAAACTGTCAAATGTTTAAAGAAGACTGTATGCCATGGAGCTTGTTTTAATTTGGCTGTTTTTTGTATATCTTGTGGCACTTTATCATCATCTAAAATTTCTTAAGTTTTAGAAGACTTGTTGCATGTATACTTCTAAGACTTCTGTTGTCACTTGAAATTAGGCTTTGATACAAAAAGAAAAAGGCCAGCCAGGTGCCAGATGCAGTTGTGTAATATCTTTGCAGTGGTGTAATTATTTATTTTTGGTGTTGGTATGAGGCCTCATATCATTTTTATGCATGGTGTATGGGTTTCCCAAAAAGATGTAAACACATTTAATGAATGAAATAAGGGCATTTTAACAAACTAAATCATTGCATAGCTTAGCATTGGCACTTGTTGAATTAGCGAATCTAGTGTAGGTGTTTAAAATGATCAGCATAAGCTTCATGGCACAGCTGACCGTGGCGAGCAACTGACTGACAAACAGCCACTGAAGTTGCTGCTGAGATGGCTGTGCAACACTGTTCAATTTCTTGCCAGAGCTCGACATGTTGCTGGCTTTATGCTGTATACTGCATCGTTCAAGTAATCCCATGAGAAAGCGTCAGTTGGGGTTAAATCTGGTAATCATGGGGGGTACTCAACAGATTCTCTGTGTCTTATCCATCAGTCATGAAAAGTATTGTCAAGATAGGCCTTGACATCATGCTGTTAATGTGTGGGGTGCCAAGTTGTGTTGATACCACATGCCCTCATATCCATGCAGCTGATGAATGGTGGGAACAATGGATTCTTGAATGTGTATTCATCTTTTTTGGGCACTCTATATATGCACACATTAAATAGTCTCTGTGCACATTTTCTCTTCATGGCTTATTTTGGTATATTTACATTCTTGCCTATAGTCATTCCACAGTTTGTGTTCATTGTGATTCCTTTCTTAGACTATTTTCTTTCATTGTTTATTCTTTCTAAATACATATTCTGTTTATTTCTCTTACCAACTGATTGATTGACTCACTCTCCAATGTTGTCTCTTCCTTTAACAGTTAATTCATTAAAACGTTCTTATTGTTAGTTTCCAGTACCTGAAAAGAGTTTAATATAATAGTTATTTCTGTGTTGTGAATAATTTCCATGTGAATAATTTTCTATTGGGACACTTGGAAGCTATCAGACATAACCTTAGAATGTTGTGCCATTATTGTATTTGTAATCATTAATGCATATATGTTGTTAAATAAAATTTGTATGTATCAGTATCATTACAAGCTGTGTAAGACATGAGGTTTTCACAGCGGTGAGTATGAAGATTTCTGTCTTCTGGGTTGTTGCGCTGTGTAGACTGGTCGATGTTAACCAACATCAGGGTGATAACATTCATCGCCCTGATGACGGAGGCAGTATGACCTCTGAAACGTTGGTTAACATCGACCAGTCTACACAGCGTAACAACCCAGAAGACAGAAATCTTCATCGTTACAAGCTATTTCCATACCAGGTTTTACAAACATAACTACAGTGATTCATCAATTATGGGATGATATGCTTACTTTATGTTGTAAAAATTAACTACCTTAATGAAAGCTTTATGTTTGTAAATGTTTGTCACCACACTAATTGCTTGGCCACCAATAGCATGATGTTACAATGTGTTTGTCAGCTGGTTCAATAGTTACAAGGGAGGTGATAACACTGAGACATGATAGTGCCATAACTCTGTTATCTAAGTTAGGAGAGTAAACTGAAATAAAATGTAGGATTGAGTTTATTATTGTAGCAGACTAAATGAATTTATAATTTTCATGCAGTATAGTTTATTGTTGCTTAAGTCCTTTATATGCCATAGCTTATTGCAATTACTTAAATTGCATATTTGGTGATAAAACAGAAGACTCCAGATATCCATTTTGCTTATTTGTAAAAGCAGTAGCAAACAAATATCATAAATGAATAAATAGATCTTTTTTATAGGAAATGTGAAATTATGTTAATGTATACAGTGTGGCAGTCAGCACGAACTTGTTGAATATGATGTGGTGCTTTAATATGCCTATTTTCTTTTCAGGCATACCAGTGTGTGAGCTAGAATGGGAAAGCCGTTTATTACTACGGCTGTGTGTTGTGTATTCTGCTTTCTTTGTGCAGAGCACAGTCAGTGCTTGTTCCATTACCATGCCACGCTGCTGGCAGACTCCAGTGATGAAACACGCAACAGTTTAAGGAATCCTGGACAGGTTACACATTCCTCATCATTTCTTTATTCATCTTTGGGGAATGACTTCAGGACACAGAGAAGACAGTTGAGTGATGACAGTGGTGTGCATCAGTATGAAAGAAAGATTACCAGTGTGGTGGACCAAGGACATCTTATAAATCGTAAAGCTGTGTCAGACAAGAGTTTCAGGTACAGGAGGGATACGCTAGATATTTCACAGGAACAGGCTTTTGTGAAGAGGTTGTTTTCACAGTTTGGTGAAGGGGATACCATGACGTTTGAAGGTTTTGAACGACTTCTTAGGACTGTTGGGCTTCAGCGGCTCATATCTGCAGCAGGAGGTGGCCATACTGTGAACAGTGCACCATTGTCCAATGTAGCCAATTCCAAGCTTGAAGAAAATGGTAAAGAATGTTACTGGTATTCATATTAAAGTAGATGTGTATGCAAGGTTTGGAAACAAAACTTTCTCCACTCTGTCATCCATTTTACCAATTTATGCCCTATTTATTTTGTAACTGTTATATTGGGTTGTGTATATATCAGATACCTCACATTGGAATATTTCAGTACATTCAGAATTCATGACAATTTTTATTGATCTAGAGGTAGAAAACATATTCTGTCATGCAGGACATTATTTCTAGTCCCGTTGAATAGATGCCACGTGACTACACTTTCTTTGTCAGCTTTGTACAGCTGTTACATGAAAAACTTGCACTGTCTTTCAGCTTACTTCTTTGTTGGTGACCACATGTGCTAATAACATGATTAGTGTACTTAATTCAAAGACCTAACAATAACATTCTAAGTAAATCAGATTGTGTTTTACCATCATGTTGTGGTTCTGTTTGATTTCAATTTGATTCTCAGTTCTCACACAACAGTTTACAATAAATAACTTTTCCCTCAAGCATTTTATTTATTTCATCTAATTAATTCTTATTTGATATGTTTGGGGGCTAAATTTGCTCGTTATTATGTGTCACTACTAATTTTTAGGTGCCATCAATAGAATTCACATTACCAGTAACCAATTATAATATTCAGTTCTAATGATATGAATGAAATTCCTGTGTTGTTCCATATGTTCTTTTATGTTTTTTTTAACTAGATGGTTGCAAGTTTTTATTTTGCTGTGATGATTTACAAATATAATGTTTTGTACCAGTTAGATAGTTGGCAAGTGTTGACTTCTTTGTCTCAATTTAAAACCATGAAACTTGAGCTCTTAATCAATAAAATATAAGATAAAGTATGTATGTCTAATATATACTTCAGGTACTATGTGTTGTCATTGTTTCTTAATTTTCACTATTACATTGCATTGCACTATGCGTCTGTATGTTGGTTATGTTGTTTTGCTGTATTAGGTACAGTCCACGACTGTAATCTTGAGACTTGCGGGGCGAGGAAGTGGGGTGAAGGAGGAAAGATAGCATCTGCCTTTAACGCTACGGACTTCCTGCATTCCTTGCAAGTCTCAAGATTACAGTTGTGGACTGTACATGTTTATTATACAAGAACAACTGGGTAACAAACATGCACCAAGGTTTGCATTGCAAGATGAACAGATATAAGAGTTATAAGTTAAATTTAAGAGTCTTTTAATAGAATGATATTAGTACAAATGAGCTTGATCTATATGTGTTAAATGATGCATGATTAAAAATGTAGGAAGAGGAATTATGTAATGTAGGTACACTTATATGGATGTTTTAGTGTTTAAAATATGGGAATTTTTGGTGATCAAATCACTGCATTTCTTTTTGTTGATTACAATAGGAAAAGGGTTTGTTTCAAAGTGTTTCAGTTTAAGTATCTAATGTAATTTGACTGGTCCTGTATTTGAAACAGATCAGAAGAGTCAGTCTGCAGTGGGTCATTAAGAATGACATCACCCTGCCAGAGCTTGTCAGCTGCATATGCCAATAAAGGGCATGAGTATCAGAAATTTTCTTATAGTATCAACAGTAAACTGTTGGGTTATGATACTGTGTAGTCTTGTAGGTGGCTACCAACAGTTTGGAGGAACTTGAAGGTGGATGCAATAGTTTCCTCCAAAATAAACAGATAAATAAATGCACACATACATATTAATATACATTACATGGATCCACAGGTTGGTCAGAATGACAGTAGGATATGGAATGAATCATAAATGTGAACAATATACAGGTAAGTACAACAGATCATACAAACACATATTCAAAATAGTGTAATGATTTTACCTAAAATAAAGGTTCCATGTGAAGTATATAGATGTTACACTGAATCTATATACAAACAGTAGTTTTTGTATTATATTAAAAGAAAAACCTTTGCAAATATTATGAGTAATTTTTGAACATTAGGAATTAAACAGAGTAAAAGGTGTGTGTATTTAAGTACCTTGTTAATGCTGCTTTAAATTGTTTCTTTTTAGTCATTTGTGAGATTAGATGGTAGACTATTGCATATTTTGATGCCAGAACAGTATGCACTTTTTTGAAAGGTTGGAAATTTGTCTGTACTCCTTGTGTTAATATTATGTTAGCAGTATTTATCTGAAAATGTTCTTGATGGTTTATAACAAAGTTCATTGATAAAAATTTATTTTCAGATGGGAGAGGTAAAGTCTGTGATCTCAAATGTACTTAGACATGAATTTCTAGGCTTGGTACTATCCATAATTCAAAGAATTCTCTTTTATAAAGTAAATGTACTTTTACTGTTAGATGAAGTACCCACAAAAATTATTACATGTTTTACTGTGGAATAAGAATAGGCAAAATAAATGTATTGGAGAATGTTACTTGCTGATATGAAACCTCAATCTAACTGCATAACATTATCTACGGCGATCATTGTGAAATTACAGTTTTAAGTGGTCATCCGTTTGTAAACAAAGGAATTTTGTATTTGCTGACTTCTATGTACTTTTCATCATAACCAGTACTTCATGCATATTATGGTGAATTTTTTGTTATATTTATTTTATATAGTTTTGGGGCTAACATGCTAGCATTAAACCATTTACTTATATGAGAGACATGGGAACCACCTACAAGACTACACAGCATCATAACCCAGATGATCAGAAACTGATTATCTGAAAACTTTCAGTGCATGATTATGTTCATAATGGTTGCAGGCTTCCTATTTTGTCATGTTGAAACTAAACAATATGTTAAGATGTATGAAATTTATTATGTATGTTGAAATTCCCATGAAGTGTATAGGTCTGTCAGCAAACATGATGCATCTTTCTTAGTTGTGATAGAAAATGTGATTAAAAGTTTGTGGTAAATCTTCGTGCTGTAACATTTGTACTTTGTTTACAGACTGTTTGTTTTAGTGAAATATTATCAGATATGTTGAAAGTTCAATATGTAAGTATATTCTGCTCATCTTAATAATGATACATTTTTAAATTCATATACTGCCATTTATTGGAAAGGAAACTTATGTAACTGTATAAAAATAGAATCAACATTAATGAAAAGAATTTAATGCCAGAATATACTGTGGTCAACTAGTGTATCTTTAAAAATGATGGCTGAATGCTGCCCCCACTTTGTATTACAAATATACTACAAATTTAGTACATTTTGGACTTACCACCATAATATTTAATGATGTAGAATATATATTGTCAGAATATTCAGCGAATGAGCACAAGCACTGTAACTTATTTATGTCATAAGAAATGCATTGAAGATATTCTCATTACTATGTGGCCTTACAAATTTAAAAGGGATAGTGCAGAGTGATATTAAGGAACATCATCTCCTCATGCTGAAAGTACATGGTATAAAACTGAAATGTTGTAGATTTGTTCAAATGATAGGTAATTTAGTGGTCACAATTATTTTATTGACTCTGAAATTTGTAGTGGCATTACTTGCACATTGAAGTATGGTATAAGAAAAAAGATACCTTGTTGCAGTATTAATTGGTGAGAAAACAGAACTATGTATAGAATTTTTTAGGATTCTCAACATAGGGATTCTGTGGGAAAAGTATGTGAATTATGTTAATATATACCTTATTACATTTTAAATGAAGTAAAATGTTTGGCATTTTTGATCGAGATATATAGATATAATAAAACATGTTTGACAAATTTTGACATGGAAACCCCCTTTCCCAACAATGTGCTTTTAACCCTTGCCCCCCACATCAAATTCAGTCTAGGAGGTATAGGAGATGAAATATGGTGATGAATGATTTCACCATAAAGTGCTTCATTTTATGTTGTGTATAAATTTAATGCAGATAAGATATTTCTTTGTTAACACTACGTAGAAATATTAACAAACAAGTTTGAAGGTATGCTGATGTTTCTAATGATGTCTTCTCTGGAAAAGAGCCATATGAGTGGATTTTCCAGCATTTTGGAGACTGTCTACGAAACACTGGAAACTGATTGCATGCTCACATGGCTGATTGTCTGAGATGACTTTACTGCATTCAGTCACCATGAAAGGTTCAGATCATATTTGTTGATATTTGTTATAAATTATATTCAACTATGCTACAAGTAATTCCTTTTGTGTTTTAAAAGTGGAAGAAATTACTTGAGGTTATCTATATTTGTTTCCATTTTGTTGTGGTTATTAACAAAGTATAAATAAGCAAAGAATTTGTCATACAATATTTATTATTAATGAAAAATTATCAGGGTGTCATGTTTTTATCTTAAATCATCTTCAGGTCCTACAGATGCATTTCTTAATCTGTAGCAGGATTGCATATGGTTTGACACTGAAATTTCATATCATAAAATAAAAAATCAAGGTCGTGTAGTTGCTAAATCTCTTTCCTTTTTGTTGTTAGTTGAGGTTGATGGATTAAGTAATAGATTGTTGTAGTTTATGCTTCTCAAGTAATGGGTATTGCAGTGGTGTTTAATTCCTGTGTTGCAGCCAGCCGGCCAGATGCCATTGTGTCAACTGATGACATGAATGAGAAGGGCACACACTCAAACCAAACAGAGAAGGTAGTGTAGAAATACTGTAAAGATTTAGCTTAGTGGAAAATAAAAACTCATTTACTTATAGAGCAATATTTTGTGTTCATTTTAACTTTTTCTTGAATTCAAAATCTGACTTTTATGTTACGCTAGATATGGCTAGAAATGGGGATTGTGATTCTTTGAATATGTACAAGTATCATATTTGAAGATAAATGAGCTCTTTTTCACTAGATATGGCTAGAAATTGGGATTGTGATTCTTTGAATATGTACATGTATTATATTTGAAGATAAATGAGCTCTTTTTCCTGATTTGGCATCTGAAGAATAAGGGATCTTACATTTTTGAAAAGAACAATGTATAGTATGTCATTTATTCAATATTTGGTAGTCAGAATGAGTTGTTTTTATTGCATTCGTCCCTCTGTGTTTCTGAACTTCTCTGCTAATAGTCAAGTTTCCAACAGTGCATTGTCATGAATTTATAAAGTAATTTTTCATTATTTTTAAAGTATAAAGACATTTGAACATACTGAACAATTCAGAAAAACACATAAGAAATATATGTCTTATTTTTACAAAAGTTGTGAATTTTTAATACTACTTGAAATATCATTGAATGATGGTGGCATTGCTCTCACTGCAAAAGTTTGCAGACTATTATGTTTGTACTGTTGTTAGTGTGCAGGTGGAGTGTGCAGTGGAATAAGCTTCATGTGAGGGTTAATGATTACAGGTGGTTCAGTAGCTATTAGGAAAAAGGATAGTCATGCAGATGGTGTCAGATATGATTCCTTTGTCTTCCTCTCACTCTTGGAATGACGAAAGTGGGCCAAAGTACAGAGTGCAGTAGACTCTCGATTATCTGGGGGTGGATTAACCAGGGTATATCTGATTTAAATGACAATAAAAAATTAACTTTGAAAGTCTGCTGTAAAAGAAATTAATAAATACAACAATGACATATTATTTAATGTATTAACATAAATAATTTTTTGCTAATACCTGGAGCTTACAACAGCTGAATGTTATTACTATTTGTTGGAATTACTTTTATAAAAATAGTTGGTATGTACTATATTAAAATTTATATAAAACCCTTCCAATTTTTAGTAAATCTTTAAAAAATTAATTAGTAGTGTCTGTAAATAAACCTATGTATTTGTTGCGTGTTTTTTGTTTTTGCAGATTATCCAGGGAAATATATTTCCCAACCAATCTGGATAATCAGGAGTCTACTGTGTTCTGGAATCTTTTTTCATCCTTATGATGTAGCATTTTCATGGTTTCCCCTTTTGCCCAGTGTAAGAATCATAATATTTATCACTGTGAGGGAAACTTTGTGCCATACAATGTCTGGTGGCAATTTTATTGCATAAAATGTGGACGTGGTTTTAACAAAAATAGTGCACACATGAAAGAAACTGTAATTAAAAATGCTTACATTGCATTTATATTTTAGGTTCTATCTACTTATTTTAGTGTTCATTTTTATTCCTTGTAAAATACTGTAAAAGGGTCTTACTGTAACGTCAGAAATCATGTTTCAATCATGATAATGATAACAACAGTAATATAATCCTTTATAATGTTTGGGCCTTAAAAATTCTTGAGTTGATTTCTTCTCTTACTATTATTGATATAACATGAATAAATGATTTCCTTTGCAGTATGGTTTGAATGAAGGGCGTGTTTAAAATGTTAATAATGACACTGGCCCCTACTCAAGACATAAAGTAAAGCAAAGCCATCCCACTACATGCCATGTAGGTCGTTTGGGGGGAATGGATGTATAGCTCCTACTCTTTCTTGACCTCGGCACTAGATGGGGGTGAGGGGTC